CTGTAAAATCAAGGGCATTTAATAGTAAATTTGTCTACAATATATTTTGTTTAGAGCTCCGAATAACGGTTATTTGGTGAATGTATTAACAAGCAGAGTATAAACATTCAATATATGGTTTGTTATGTCCTATAACACAGTCATAAGGATATTTTTAAGTGTTGATTGATGTTAAACATCAATAAATGTTGTTTAACACCTAATGAATGCTTGATAACACAAGGTAACAACGCTGTACTTGTGTGTAATGTGTTAAGTTTGGAATATTTCCAAACTGCTTTGGTTGTGTGTGAATATAATTATATATAATTACAGTTATGTCACAGGTATTCATGACATTTTGTGTCTCTTGTGTCTCTCGCTCAGACACCAGCTCTGGTTTGTAGTGAGGCGTTCAGTGCATTCCTACACAAGCACTGTCCTTTGGTGTCTGAGCGCTTCAGTCCCACACCATGGTGCTGGGGAGGCCGCCTCCAAACCCTGGTCTTTTCCGTCCTCAAATCCAGACCCCACGTCACGTATCGCAAGTAAGATTAATCTCCCCTGTTATCTTTCTCTTACTGGTGGAATCACACGTCTCTATATGATTGTTTTTCAAGTTGAGGCCTTTTTAATCTTTCTGCCTGTGTCCTCTCCCCTCGTCCCTCAGTGAGCTGATCCGTACAGGTGATGGTGGTCAGATTTCGCTGGACTGGGTGGACAATCATGCCAGTGAGTCCTACCCAGAATCCTCTACCCGCCCCACAATACTGATCCTCCCGGGCCTGGCAGGGAACAGCAAGCAGCCCTACGTGCTCCACGCCATCAGCCAGGCCACCCGCCGAGGCTACAGGTCAGCTGTGTGCTCCTCAACACTGTCCTGTTGGACAGAATTCAATTATTTCCCGGTCTGTCAGAATTAGAATATTCCATAATTATTAAATGAAATATTTCTTCTGGCAGTAACACACCAGTTACAAATTAAAAGCAGGGAAGTTACATGTCATTTTCTTCTCTAGATGTGTGGTCTTCAACAACAGAGGGGTCGCAGGAGAAGAGCTGTTGGTAAGTGCGATGATTACATGAGTTATTTTCATGTTACATCTTCATCTTGAATATCCTTTTCCTTTCAACAGACTTCGTTAGTCAGCATAGCTTCAAGTTTTAGAGTTTGTTTGCTCCAAATCTGAAATTGATTTGACCTATACCGGGATAGAGTGGGTTAGAGCTTTGTTGGCCATAATAAATATGATTTTATTATTATTACAAAAACAACCTCTATATAATTATATAAATATAATATTAATATGAAAGCAATGAAACGTTAAATATTTGAGAATTAAAATATTGCACATTAGCAGATGAAACTCCATTGAACTCCAGTGAGAAGAAGTTGGTCTGAAGCAAAGATTTAAATGTTTCTTGGGTCTGAGCAGTTCTGTTATAAATAGATTAGCTGATTCCAGAGATTAGAGGCAGCCACTGCAACGGCCTGCTCACCTCTATTTTTCAGCTTAGACCTTGGGACATTCAGCTTGACCTTATTTTTCTGTGTAGATCTTCACTGTTCAGAAATGATTGGAAACGCATTAATGAGCCAGTAGAGGTCCTAAACTTGTAGGATATTTTTATTAATACAAACAAAAGCCCTGCTGCCGCAAGTACTCATTGCTGCACCAATTGTGTTAATCCGCAGCTGAAAATAGTCCTCAACAAATGCTGTTTTCAGCTGATTTAGGACTCCA